TGAATGACGATAAGGTTTATGTTAAGGTATCAGTACAATAATGACTGGTTATATTAACTACACTCACAGAAAAAAGAGGACCCGTGCATAAAGTAAATATTAAATTAAATTAAATATAACTGGAGCATGATTGTCTCAAAATTAAGATGAATTCGTTCCCAAATATAAGGTGATGTCGGTTGCGTACGCATTTTTTTAAGTACTGTAACTTTTTCCGGTAGACACTTCGTACCGTAAAGCGTTAGGAACAAATCGCATAATGGTCGAAATACGGAAAAGTATAAGTTTAACTGTCATTGTCGGACTTTCCGTACTATGACAGATAACATACAGTATACAATGGATGTGTAGCAAGATGTAGCCGTTTTCACGTAATTTACTTTGACTTTTTTATTGTACTTTTACTTTTACTTTGTTAGTTCACTGCTGAACATAGGCCTCCCTTAGAAAGGAGGTTTTGGCCTATTATACTACTTTAGCCAGGCGGGTTGGTATAGGTTTTGTTTCCTTCTCTTTTTTCCTCCTCTTTGCCGTGCTGCTGTTCTGCGTAGTTTGCTCCCTTACGACATCCAGGGGATAAATAGGGATGACACTCTGTATTTTTGATCCGTCACAACACCTACATATATCCTTTAAGTATTGCAAATTATACGTTTCTTTGATTGATAAATTCACTTGAAAATGCCTAAAAACGTACTCTTCAGAAATACTCAATCACTGTTTATATGATCAGTCTTAAAAATTTATGAGATCAAATAAAAGAGCAATACTTTTTTTATTACACAAATGCCTACCAAAACTTGCATAACACTAATGCTTCATGATATTCTTAACATCTTCGACGGCTCCGCTCCGTGCAATAATCACCTACACTTATTTAGATTTTGGATATTGTATTCGTATGTTGGGATATGGACTTGGCGTAATTTTATCTGAATACGTAAAGCAGAACAATAGTGGTGTAGAACTAAGTTTATAATATATAAACAACAAAGACTTTTATACATCCGTGAGATGGCCATGCTTCGGCAGAAATGGTTAGGCTGATCACGGCCTCATAGAAAACCGATGTTAAGCGAATGTTTTGTTGCTTTTCACCGAGTGAGTGAGGTAACTGAAGGCCAAAACCAGGAGGGGTTTAGACTTCGGTTATTTTCTTATTTATTTGTGATAACTTAATGTACAAGTTGTTCACAGGCTTACTTAATGCCCAGGGCATTCTCTGTCTAAAAAATGATGCGGTAGGTGCTAGAGAAAACAGGAATTTATATTAAATTTACTAATTTAATATAACTCTAACTTAGGTATAATATACATAAATAAACTACTATATTGAGAACTACATATATATAGAGCTCGCGAGTATACACGTACAATACATAAACATACACATACATAAATATCAATATACACAGTCGGGTACTAGCGTTGTGACCTTTCTGCCAACTCATTTTTGAGAAGATCTTGATTTCTTTTCTTGAATGTAAAGCGGTTAGTAAACATCCTGGTTTCAACTGGGAGTGCATTCCAGAGAAGAACTGACTGTACATAGAAGGAAGAATTGATGAAGTTAGTAGTGTAATGGGGATAAAGAAGAAAGAATTTGTTGACCGAAGATTTCGGTCATGATTGAAGCATAGGTTATCTTACCACAGTATCGCATTTTGAATCCTCCGTCTGTGTCGTACTTGTGACTCTTAAATTATAGGTGTCTATTGGCGTGTTATTAACCATCAGGTGATCCGTCTGCTCGTTTGCTCTCTTATCCCATAAAAAATACTAATAAAATTAACGCCCTGGTTACAGGTGGACCTGGGAGCACAGCCAGTGCAAAATAGTTTAAACGTCAGACATTTTAAAGGTATGTTATTGCATACCGTTAGTAATTTTTAATTCCTGTATTTTAAGAATAAAAATACATATATTATGAACTCGAAAATTTTAAAGTAATATTCTCTATTTTCCATAATTTCTAACAAAAAACAGACCCTGCATTACAATTTTTTATGCAAGAAGCGCCTCTAATTTAAATTAAATAGCGTAGCTCTATTTAAAGTCACATAATACGGTTCACAGAATTGGGGTCATGACCTGTATCATTCAGAAACTTCTACCCTAATTCACAGGCATTATGTGGCAACCCCTCTGAATTTAAAATAGATTTTAAAATCTATCAACAGGTTTTTGTGAGAACGGAGGCGTGTAGATTCTTTTTCAAACTGCTTACGGACTCAAAATCACATATTTAAACATAGAATTCATGATAAATGTGTTGGGCCTATTTTTATATTTAGGTTTTAAAGTATTTTTATGTTTACGAAAATTTATCTGGTGGGTCCCTTCAGATAATTTTTCGTATACATAAAACACATACTCGTCGTAAGTATTACACTCGACTTCTTCGTAGCTTCACATCTTGGGTAGCGTCAATCAAATAAAATCAAGTAATTTTATTATGTCCTCTATCATACAGAAAAGTTTTTATGGAGTTAAATGTAAATGTTACACTATCGAGACAGCGAATCTGTTTAAGAGACTGGTATACTATGTGCATTTGTAAGACGGACTAACAGCCTCTGCAGACTCCAGATAGATGGTTATTTATTAAATCTGTTACTATTGATAATAAGGGTCACATGTGAGTAGAGTTTGTGTGTGTGCATGTGACTGTAGGCGGGACGGTATTTATGGCGACGCGCCGTCAATGTCTAACAATTTACTAATTAGTTGCTTTCATTGTTACTATTCAAGTTCATTATGTAAAAATCTCATAATTTAAACAAACAACATGTCATCAAAGTGTACCTATAAAAATAAAATATCTTAAGTTTATATTAAACTAAAAAAATATATTATCTAAATGAATATTAAACTTTATAATTATTCGGTTGTAAAATTTGATGACATAGTTTTTTTTCATTATTGTGACTGAATGTTGGTTAAGTTCTAACCTCAGATAACAAATACTTTAAGTAATTTCAATAATAACATAAAAGATTCGTTATTTTTGTGAATGGCTATAAAAAAATCTTTTCACTGAGACTTGAGCAGCGATATTTTGCCTATCGATTGTATCGTTTGGCATTTTAGTTGTTTTAGAATATTGTCACTTATCTAACTTTAAATTAGAAATGTACATCGATCATTTAATAATATGCATTCAATCTACGATTTATAATCACCACTGGCCATTTATAATCAAAAGTTTATAATGGAGCGTAGTTAAGTGTTTAGTGGTTAAGTGGTTACCTGATATGTTTGTTTTTTTTAAATATGGGTATAATTATTATACTGGTAACATTTAGCTATAACCTCAATATTTGAAATCAATCATGATACCATTTGTAATCAAAAGTTATAGAAAAATTAAATTAAAAGTCATTTGACGGGCCAGTTGGTCTAGTGGTTAGTGACCCTGACTGCTAAGCCGTAGGTCGTGGCTTCGATTCCCACCCAGGACAAATATTGTGTGATGAGCACGATCACTTGTTCTGTGTCTGGGTGAAATATTTCTATAATATGTATAATTAAGAAATATTTCAGTATGTTTATCAGCAGTCTGGCTATCATAAAACAGGCTCTGCCTAGTTTGGAATCAGACATCCGTGTGTGAAATGTGTGAAGTTATTATTATTATTATTTAGCCTAGAAGCTAACAAATTTCATTTAGCTACTCTCAGATGGAACTAAGCCACGTATTAAATATTTTTTTCAATGTTCAATAATTTTAATATTCTGAGGTCAAAATAGTGTAACGTAATGAATACAGCTAATGTTTTAAACTTAAATACAATTAAATTATTTTCTCTATTTATAACTAAGTATAAATGTACAAGCTCGTGTTTTACACATAATTGATATAGGCATTAACATTCAGGTGTGCCAATAAACTGTTGTAGGGATATTGAAATAAAATTCAGTCATAAAATTAATACATTGATGTTTATTAAGATTCGGAGATCAAACGAAAGTCTTGAATTCTTAACTAAGTATCAGTCTACATTACAAAAAACTTATCAACTAATTTATTTATTACAATTCAATAATTATAAAAGGAATATTAACTTAGAAACAGTTGACACAAATGGAAGAATTCATCAAAAATATTATTATATGCAAACTAAATTAAACTTAAACTAAAATCATTAAAACATAAATCATTAATTAAAATTGGCACGGTCGGCCCACTTCTGCAAAACTTACACAAAAAATTTAGAAAAGTTAAAGTCACGTTTATCATAACCACAATTTATTTGAGAATGAATAAATGATTCTTATAACGATTAAAGACCTTACAAACTATTAAAGCTTCATATTGATCTGCTTAACTTCATACCCTACTTATATCTCAAGTCTAATATAAACCTTAGTTATAATTATTATCACATTGAACATAAAGCCTCTTATCATCTTACACGTTAAAGTTAAGTGACCTAATGGAACATTGTGTACGCCTATACTTAACTACTAACTAATAAACTTTACTTACAAACTAATTAAAGCTTTCAATCATATAAACTCTGATATCACAGACACGAACTAAATACTAATGGAAGACGTTGGATTTAGAAATAGAAAACAAGCAGAATCGATACGCATTAGACACGATATACAATCAGATTCGATAAGACGGTAAATGATCGAAAAGCCCGCGGTGTACCTGTTAATAAATGTATATCATGCCTTAGAGGTTTAGGTGATAGCCGGTGCATTGATAAATTAATTACAGTGCAGTTCATTAAAGCTGTCTACCAAAACTTGTGGCAATTTACTGTTAACACACTAATTTAAACGACAACGCAGCGTCTCGAGTTATCTGCTAGAGATCACAAAAATTACTTGCTAAATCACATAAAAGAGACGCTGAATCAATCAGATCACTAAGTCTAATGGAAGACGTTCGATTTGTGCCACCGGGCACGTTTAAAACTACTGTTGGAAGACACGATTTTGTTTTCACTGCATTTAAGTACCGAATGAAGAAGAAGTTATGTTTTAAGCTAGTTACAAAGATTACATACGAGACAGTTCTCAGAGGCTGAATAGCAGATTTCCCTCACTTCGTTGGCCATGTTCTCGCTGACCTCCAGATCATCGTTGATAAGCTCGAAACGGTTGTTAACGATGTTCTGGTTCTCAGCGTTGTCATTTTCCTCGATGGGCACCGGTTTCACCGTATCCACGGGGTAGAAGAAGTCCGAGAAAGGAACGAGAATAGGTTCCTCGGGGTATGCAGTCTTTTGTGATGGTAGGTCGTTGCGTGGGCCCGAGTTAGAGATAAATTCTCCTAACTTAGACCAGCACTTGTTAAGATTAACCCGCGCTGAGGTCGTCACTTTACGAGGAAGTCGGGGCTTCGAACTCTGTAAACAATGAAAAAAAAATTAGTCGTGAAACATACGGCATAAACTTGTTTAGAAAAAGATAACATTTGAAATAGTATGAAGATACGTACCTGACGATTTAAGAGCTTTGCCCAGGGTGAGCGGGGTGACGTGACCTCCTTCTGCGGGGATTGTTTTTTTTCCTTAGCCAAACACATCTTAACTATTTACTACGTCTACTGTTATACTACAAACTTAGTCTAACAAGTTACGACTACGTATTTACAGAAGGTACGATTAAACACAGAGCGTCATACACGCGCGGTGCGTTAGCAGGGAATGATGGAATCGGGAAGAGCGGACGCTCTTTTATAGTTTGGGCCCTGTAGCTCGCGCGCATGCGCGTGCGACGGGAGCGGGGCGAGCGCGCGCGCAGCACGCGAGCGGTAGCGCGCGCCTACAGACTTGTTTTTACGAACAACTTCTACGAATAGAAGCTTTGACGTGCCGCGACTTAGAATAGTTACAAAGTTGGATGGTGCTCGTAAAGCTTTATTGATGACTAACTCGGACTGATGTGAGACTTAAAAATCTATTTGATATATTTTGTTTCGCTTTCGTATATGACTCATGGTTATATTTGATTTTATGTCCGATAACTCTGTAACATAAATCAGTTTTCTAACAGATTTTATGTTCCGAATATCAAGTCGTTTTTTTTTGGATAACGACCGACTAAATCAAGAAAAGGTAACATTGTGGTATCGTACAATCGGACAAGCAGTTAAATGCGCCATTGAATTAATTTGATAGTGTACGCTATACAGCTTTCTTCTAATAAATATTCTAGTTTGGACGAGTAAGATTAACTTAGGCGCCGATATCACACCTAAGTACCAGTTAGTTTTGCGCTAGCGTTCATTCCATGAGTCCGTAGGCGATTTCTAGCAAAATAAACAGCACAATCTATGTATTATGAATCACGGTTTGCAGCTGGCTATAGGATAGATAAGTTCCTGTGCAGATTTATCACTGTGCGCCGGTGTCGCTTCCTGTGATTAAATCGCATGCACTTGCGCACAAATCACAAACAGGGGACTGATAAATCATTTCCTTTGGTCATTTGACTGAATGATACACGAAAACTAAATTCTATTAATATTAGAGTTTACATTATCACAAGAGAAAAGGTGCAAGTGAATCAGAGGATTGAGTTATAAATATAGGCGAAAAATTGAAGTGATCAAGGTACAGGGTCGTGCATGTAACGTGAGGGGGTCACGGGTTTGATTTTCGTCGAGTGTGATATTTGTATGCATGGATATATCTATTTGCATTGTTATGCGTGTATGTGTAAAATATTTTAAGATACGCGTGTGTTTTATATTAAAAAAAAAACTTTATTTAGTATGTTTATCTGTACACTGTTCTTGTACGATTTTGGCAATAATACCCAATGGTTTTTATTAATTATATTTTTAGCTTCATGTCAACTGCAAACATCAATAACAAAAATCCTTTTTAAAAAAAGTTGAATCGACTTCAAACAACACTAACAACAAAGAGCACTCAAAACCTAGCTGTAATCGCGGTTGATTTGCTGTCATTTTTGGAAGAGTACCGTTGTCTGTCTCCGTAACTCATCATCATTTATGAAATTTAAGTGGGACCATTTTGGAATAAACCCCTTTCGGACAAAAAAAGAATTTGGAAAATCCATCTATATATGACGGAGTTATGCCCAAACATACGTGAAAAATGTATACAAACATCCGAATTGATAACATCCTGCTTTTTAAAGTCGGTTAAAAACAATAACAAATAACAAAACACTGCATAACTGACGTCATATTCTACATTGCTTCAATTTACATTCTCCCAGTTTCTATCAGAAAACACATATGAGAGCTTTTGACTTTTGCTCTCCTCATACGAGTACATTTAATTAATTAGTATGACTATATATATTTAAGTAAATATGTATAAACATCGTTATCGAAGGAAAGAAGTTCTCAATTCATAGATTTTTATCATCACAAGCGTTTGAACGACATTGTCTTATAAGACACTTATTTTTATTTCAAAGATTTTATTAAAACTATTGTCCGGATTCTTTTCATATAGTTGTAATAATATGCCAATGGTACTAGAAAAACGATTTGTAATATGATACTCGACCAAAATGTACCATTATTTTAATAATAATGGTCATTTAGAATGCAAGGCAATGCCATTGGGTCGTGTTTATTTCAGTCGTAATCAATTTAGATAGAAATCTCAATTCGAATTTCTAAGTAAATACATAGATATTTAAAGACGAAGGTTTCTGCTTGGATTATAGACAGAGCGACTCACAGGAGCGTTTTACTCGCCAGATAGATTCAGGCTTGGACGCACTAAGAGTGAAAATTAAGTAAATAAGAACACAGTTTCTTAAAATTTATCATGACGCAGACTCACTGAAGTTGCTAATACTATTATAAAAGTTATTTTTTATGTTTAGCAAATTTAATGTTATATACAACAATCTATTCGATTACTTTCTTATAAGACTTCAATAATGACTTATAAGACTCATAAGACGCTTTGTATTTAAAAGAAAAGAGAGCTACAAGAACACTGAAGGAATAGTAGGGATAAGAATAATTAGGAGGAAGAATATTTTCAGTTCTTTAAGTAAGTTGTTGACAAAATATACAAAAAAAAAGTCTCAACATACCTTGCTAGAGATTTAAGAACAGAAAAAAATTGTGACTCTCAAAAACTAAAAACTAGATATATACTGAGAACCTACTCTTAGCGATATACTCAAATAGAAGTATTTATAATATTCTTTTTCTTATACTAAAACAGACACCTCACAAATTATATTCAGTGGTCCTTTAATTACACTTATTATTTCATTATAAAGTGCACTAATAGCGCTGATAGCACATTCGCATTAAAAGTAACATTTTATCGCGATATTTGCTACCGTAACTCAGAAGCGTGTTCTAGAAAAAGTAAAATAATATTACATGAAGATAAAAATACTTAATATATTTTATTGTAAGATGTTATAAACCTCTTACAAGCAGTATAAGGACCGTTAGCCTTAAGTGCGCAATTGAATTCTTGATGAACTCTAATGAATTTAATTTTCATTTAGATGTGTACGAGCAGGATGTGAAAACGATTTTATGCCTTTAAATATGGCGGCCTAACTACATTTGGAACTCTTTTTACTGAACATTTTAAAATAATTGATGTATGTACATGTTTAGGGATATACGAAGAAATAATTTGAATTTAAACTTTTAAAAATAATGTAGGCATGACGCAATTTCTTGTTGTCGGAAATGGACTAACGTTTCCACTACTCTTGACTTATAAACCTTAATACCTTAGTTGTATTGTATTTTAATACGAATCTTTGTAGGTACCATACTTTTATTAATAACGTTTAAAATAAATTGAGCCCTATCTTGTATTTTATATGGCTTTATCATGAAAATCAATTTATGTTAAATAAAACTTCATGGCGGATGAGATTTTCTTTTGAATTAGAGCACGATTAAGTATAGTCGTAAACTTTCAATGTTTTTTTTTTCTAAATATTGATAAACTTCGTATTAAAATCTCTCAATTTAGCAAAATTGAGCGTTTTCATGACCAGGAAATTACCACTCGCTTGATTATATAATAGTAAGTTCTTTCGCTTAACTGTGATTTGCTAACCTGAATTTTGATCCCGTTCAATAATATTGAACTGACCGTTTCCATTTCCTTCAGTACTTTAATATTTTCTTAACTTGTATATAACGATTCTGATTGGAATATGTTCTAACTTGATAAGAATCAAATCTTAAGTTCTGTGTCTGTAACGCAGAACTTAAGTTTAAAGACCTGGTTTAAACACTATCAAGTCAAAATGATTAAGTTTATTTTGATTTCATTAAGATTTCAACTTTAATTTCAGATCAGATTTGAAAAAATGACGGATTTTATATAACGGTTTATATTCTTAAAAATGTCCAGATTTTTAAAACCATAATGGACATTCCACGGTCTAAAAAAAAAAAACTCTAAATCTGTCACCGATTGATTATTAAATGAGGTTAGTTAATAATCCTAAAAATAATATTTATAAGGGGAATGTATGGGTTTGGTTAATACTTTTTAGACGGATATTCTCCAAATATTCATTGTTTACATCGACCACTATAATCGAGGTGTCATTATAATATTTAAATGATAATCTTACCATGTGTTGCTACAAAATTATGAGAGTTGGTATATCTAAGTACCTAAACAGTACCGTAGTACCGTAACGAACATTCTAGAAATTTAATTAAACCTACCAAGGTCCATACATTAGCTTAAGTAAAACTTGACACTTCAGAAATCAAGTTTGATAGTGCACCCAACCTCCATGTAACTGATATCTTCCACTCTGAAGAATTTCATAACGTAATACTTTCATCAAACGAAAAAAAAAGTTGGACCACAAACCGACCACGTGCAGTGGTTGTTTTTTTTTAAACTAACTTTTTGCCCCTTCTCTTTGGGTAGGGTTACAAAATAGAATTTTGTATTCGGCGCGTATCAACTCTGTGCTTATACAAAGGTATGTATTGTACGTGAGTGCGTGTGTGTGTTCGTGTGTACAACACACGTTCATTGATTTAGTTTAAGGGGATTTCGTGTCGTTAATTATGACAGTTTGGGTCGGTTAATTGTCTTAATGTGTAAGAAGTATTGTATAATTTATTAGGCTGTTTTATAGCTTTTCTTTTGTTTTATTATAGTATAGATATTTGGACCGCTAGTAAAATTGTCTGTTGATAATTTGACACGATCTCGATTACAAGCAAGTACGAGTAGTAGAATCGAAATGGCTTAGGCACCGGATTTACGGCCATAAATTAGGGTTTCGAATACCATCCAATACACTTAAAAACTCATGCTGTCATTTGTTTAGCTTAAAAGGTGACCTTAAATAGTAAACGTTTTTATAAAACTTTTTAAAAGAACTAACTCATGTAATTTAGAGCTTAAAAATTAAAACTTACAAACACTATTTACTATTGACAATTAACACTTCAAATTTTTCGCTATGATGCCCCATGAAAATATTGATACAGATCAATACACAACCTTTTATCTCAAAGAGTTAGACACAATTATAAAATTATACAAAAGTATCCCTAAAAATATTTATTGTAAATCTTCCCCTATT